GAAAAGATAGATCACTATTGATAAGAAGTGGGTCACCTACGACAAGAACGTACGAAAAAGATCAGGGTAAAAGGGTAGTCAAGCTCCACAGACTGTAGGGAAACCCGGATTAATACGCAATAAGATGATATTGTGTATATGGTGCGATTAGAAGGGCATCGTTTATTATGAGCTTTTACCGCCAGGCAAAACTACTGATTTGGATCTCTACTATCAACAACTAATGAAACTCAAGCAAAATATTGAGAAAAAACGGTCGCAATTGATCAACAGAAAAAGAGTTCGCCACTCAGCAAAATTGAGAAAGCTTGGTTGGGAATTCTTAATGCATCCACCATATAGTCAGGGCCTTGCACCCTCAGATTTTCACTTGTTTCGGTCTCTTCAGAATTCTTTGAGTAGTGTTAACATCAAGAGAGGATTGTAAAAACTAATTGTCGCATTTTTTTTTACTAAAAATCCCAAGATTTCAACAGCAAAAGGGTTTGCAAGTTATCGAACAAAATAGCACATATGAATTAAATGTAGTTAACTGTGTTCAAGAACGCAATTAAGATACTACTCGGAAGTTATGTGAGGAATTAACAGCGTTATTTTTATGAAATAATATAAAAATAATAAAATAGTTTCAATTAATGTGCGATATTCGCGTAAATCTAATAAAACATTATTGTATAGTTTTATATTGCCTTCACCGGGATCCAATTAGTTTGCTTCCGTGATAAGAAAATAGCTGAACGGAGCGCTGGGACCTGGAAGTGATGTTGAAGTCAGTCCGGTAAACTTATTGAAATAAAATGTGTATTTATTTCAAATACTTCCTTTTTATAAAATGCGAACATTGTAAAACTGTAATCAATATTGAAAAGGTGAGGAAAAATGCTGATGGCTAGAGGGAAGTGATGCCAGGCCGCCTGGCAAGCTTCAATGTGACCGGGAGACTGGTGCAAAGCCGTATAGTAGTATAAGGGTAAAAGGTCATATCAGGACTGTAAAAACTACTGTGTAATTAGTTAAAATAAGCTTGCTTAGCACTGTCGGTAAACTATGCTAAGGTGTTGAAAGAGTTATGATAAAAATTAATGACAACATTTATGATGTGCAAGCTGGATTTAGAAAGGAGATGGGATGTACGGATCAGATCTTTTCTATGCGTATGATTACAGAGAAGTTTTTGGACAGAAAGCCAAAAGTCAAAGACGTATCGCAAATTACAATGCTGCGTTAATCCTAACCATATTGGAAGGTAGTGAAAGTTAAGTGTGGCAAAAGAAGCATAAGATCTAAACTAATGAGGTAGTAATGCGGTCATGAAGCTAGTGAGGGGTGACTCTAAATGATAGGGCGAGTGATTGCATGACAACAGAAAGGGTTCGTTTCCAAGAAGATGTTGTGACCAAGATTAAGAAAGGAATTCGTCGGTTACTTGACAAGTAGAAAGAATGAATGAGAAAAGAACATTACCACAATAACTACAGTATACCACAAGTCACTGAATACTGTCCTCCTCCATAGATGAGATTGAGATTAATCAGTTACGTATTTTATAGTCAAAATAAATTGTTTAAATCAGATTTTGTATTTGGTATACGATTTCATTTTATTTTTGTATTCTTAGGCAGAATACGCTAAGTGCTAAATTTGATTTTGTGCAAATTTTTTCCTCAAATCGTTTACTTTACAATTTCAAAAACAATCTGGAGGCAATACTTTTTGGCTGTAGGTATACAAACAGCGAGGAGCTTAATGGCGGAAAGTAAACATAAAAACCCAACTCCAATGTCAGATTATTGACGGAAATAAGCATTGGTGTAGGTTCGTTCTCCGCTCACCAAACATCCACTTCAGCGAGGGGAGTGTGGTTAGTATTTCTAGTAAATGTACGTCAACTGGTGCAGTTTAGCAAAGGATTGTGAGAAAATTACATTTGAAAACAATTTTATTAGCCTAACTTGAAGAAAATTATATGTTTTAGACTATTCGCAGAGAGCCTTTTAAGTAGTGGTTCGCCCTGCGTTACTTGCACACGTACGTTCCATTTATTATATATTATCTACATTTTTACCGTTTCAAGTACCCGGAGATTTTTCTCCGACTTAAATTAAAATTATTTTTCAAAATGGTCGCATCTTAAAAGTTTTTGTGTCGTAAAGGAAACCTTTGAAGTGTTTGGCGTGTGCCCTAATTGAATATATATGGATTTAATAAACAAAATGAAAGGATGAATGAAGAACGATTGACGAAAAAAGTGTATAAGGCGAGTGTGAATGAAAGTGTTGGAAGGGGTAGAACTAGGCGGACATTTCTAGACCAAATCAGGGACGTCTTGAAAAAAGGCCACGTCAAGAGTACCCTAAACCGTAGAGCATGTATGAAGAGAATAATGAAAGTGGACGAAGCGAAACAAGTATGTAAGGATCGTAGCAAGTGGAAAGAAGTGGTCTCTGCCTACCCCTACAGGAAAGAGGCGTGATTATATGTATGTATGTATGTAATAAACAAGAATATAGCCGTTACCGTTACAGTGTATCAAAAGTCCAAGGCTGGACATTCGGCTCCCCCATGGCTTGCTTCAAAGGGGAGATATTACCGATAGTTGTCACGCTTGGCAGGCGGGTTAGCAACCTCAGGTTTTTATTATTAAGCTGGTATCAAGAACAAAAGCAACAAATGTGTTTTAATTTATATATTTAAATAAGAAATTAATTTTGCAACGCCTAACATTATATTATTTTAATCGTATAACATATATTGAAATTTTAATTATAGCTGCTATAAAGTGTTAATTATCTTAATAAATTATACTTGCGTAAGCATTATGGTAAAAATAACAATTATCTTGGAAATTGTACTTTTAAATATCCAAGATTATGGAATAATTTTTCAATTGTAAAAAACAGAAAAATTAATTGCACTTGCATCGCATCGCAGCATAATGCGAGAGCTTTAAACTCAATTTTCAGCGTTAACGTTTACCGACCTATAAGCCGTCATGTCACATATACTGGAACGGCAGTTCTTAATCGAAATATCTCTTTCATTATCATTAATGTTTTCTTGAGCCCCTTGTTGCTTGCCCTTTATAAAAGATAACATGAAACTGTTATACAAAAATAATATTTGTAATAAAACGCGACGAGGATAACTGTAACTGGTTGGTTGGAAATATTTGTCAAACGTCGCGGGTGATATCCTTCGACAGATCTTTTACGTGGTAGAGCCACGCTGCAGCTATATTATAGTTGTATCACGAATGGTTTGACTCGACCGGAGAAAGAACGTTCGTAAAATAGCAGCTTAATGCTGTTGTGATTCTTATTGTGAGTGTAAGAAACCGGAAACCATTATTACTCGAAATAAGGTATCCATCATAGTCCTCAAGTGTCAAAACGCATCTGCATTTTGATTTTTAATCGAGGATGTACCTACGTAGACGTCTATGGGCCACAGTATCTACTTACTATCAGGTGGACTGTGCACAGGACAGGATTATAGACTATGTGCAAGCACAAGTGCACTTTCATAATCCGATGAGACGGTAATAAGAGACGACCTTTTATATGTATGTGATGCAACTATATTATGGTTGTAGCACGAATGGATCGGATCGACCGGGGAAGAACCACGCTCTCACAGAACACCAGCGTAAAATAGCAGCTCAATGCTGCTGAGTTTCGTATGGTGAGTGTAGAGAAGCGGAGATACTTTTTACTGCATACGATTCATTCCATCTTAGTCGTTACGGTTAACAAGGCATCTACATTTGATTCTTTATCGGGGATAGATGTCGATGTATATGGACCACAACATACTCATCAGGTGGACACACACACACACACACACACACACACACACACACACACACACACACACACACACACACACACAGAGAGAGAGAGAGAGAGAGAGACACACACGCACACACACACACACACACACACACACACACACACACACACACACACACACACACACACACACACACACACACACACTGGACTGTGCGCTCATTTGTGTCCCATATTCTATAAAACAAAACTACGGTTGCAACTTCTTCTACCAGTCATGTGTAATTTACCAATTATTTGTTGTGCACCTCTAATCCAAAAATCCAATTGTGTTTGGACAGGTATTTGTCCCACTCGTTGTGACTTTTTCAGTAATCTATATAAATACGAACGAATCGTTAGGAAAAATAATAAATTCAGATGATTCAAAAAATATTTGAAAAAAAAAAGGTATTCGTTTAAACTTTAAATGCCTAAATATTGTCCATAGGGAAAAAATATCTTAGTAATAATCAAATATAAGATTTTAAATTTTTAAATGTGTAATGCGCGAATTGTACGTGTGTGAATTGTAAGAATATGTATTAAAGGTAATTCTTAGATAATATTTTGTAGAATATTCATCACACTTACAACTAGCTTTTACCCGCGACTATGTTCGCATAGGCGTAACTTTATAAGAATGGATTTTGGGCTAGTAGTTTAACTATCAAAATATTTCTTTAAAATCAGTTTTTTGCTATTCTCTCGATAACTATGTGCAAAGTTTGAAAATTCAAACCAATTTTTATATTAATATCTTTTATATCTCTCATGATTTATGAGATGATCATCAAAAAACATTAGTTTTATCAGTGTTTCGTTTAACAAAAAATTACAAAAAATTCTTAGACATTGGATAAAATTTAGTGTAGATTTTTCTTGATCTCTCTCCTCTCTATCTGATCATAAAGTTTCTTCACAATCCGTTCAGTTCCAGAAATTAGTCTGGACAGACAGATAAAACTGTAAAAATGCTTCATGCTACATATATGCGATGCATTGCGAGCTTGCGAATAACCCCCTAAGCTTAATAGAAGCCTGCTATTTCGATGCTACAGACATACAGTATACATTTAACAATGTGGATAGATTATTTGCACGAGAAATATTCCAATTATTAATATTAGGACATTTTACAAAGAAAAATATTTTTAAATTAATATTACTCACCAGTCCGAAGAATCCCACAGTGTCGTCGTTCTCCTTTTTTTTGCTGGGAACTCCCATGTCGTAGGCTTCCCCGCAGTGGTTAACAAATCTGTTGCTTTGGCCCTTCATCACAGTGTAGATAAATAACAGATAAACTTGAAAATTAGTCGCGTCGCGCGCTTTTCATCCCCAAGGCGGGCAGACAACGCGTTGACACATCCGACCTCACTGCGAGCCGGCTCACCACTGCCACAAGAGTCGGCGCTCGGCGCGCGCGCTACTCGACGCTCTACGCTCGGGAAAGTCCTAAAAGCTTTGCTTTTCCTGTATTAGCACCCATATTGACTGCCTCATCAGTAGTCGTAAACGAGCTTGTTGATAATGAGGTTAGAATCCCGGGGCGGGCCAAAATCAGTTACTGGGTTTTTCTGTCAATAAATTTTCAGTAGCGGCACGGAGTCAGGAAGTTGGCGGTGTTTCACCCCCGTGCCTCGGAAAGTACATAAAATCGTTGGTCCTGCGCTTGATCTCTCTCCGGTTGTGTAGGACTATGAGAGTGAGGGAATAGAGAGTGTACCTGTGCTTGCGCATACACTTGTGCAATATAATCCTATCCTACGCAGATGGCTAGGCTCCGATGAATCTGGCCGCCGCGCCGTTACCGATATTCGGTCTGGAGGACATTATTACTAGCACTCAGCACCACTTACTTCAAGTAGTTTTGTTTCCACATGTTTAGGATATTATATTTTACACATCCTAACATCCATAATTTAGAGCCAACTCCATCGTAGAATCTCGTGAAAGAGTCTGAATGAGGATATCTGCAGTGGGAATAAAGAGATCCTCAATCCCGTCCGTCTTTTAAACCCTCTGCCGTTTATGCTCAATGGCTCAGTACTTGAAATATTTGCCATATGTGTAATTAGTAATAAATATTTGCCATATATGTAGGCCAGTGAACACTGCCCAACAATTATTGGATGAGTGACCCGTTATCAGTTGATCGCCATAGTTTTTTTGGTTTCCGCTGGAGGGTACACAAGCGGGAGTACATATATTGCCAATTTTCTACAAACGTTTTACATTGGTCACACAATTTTTACTTCGAGAGTCTTTACGAATCGTCTCGCGCGCAGACTTGACGACTTCCAGCCTCCCGAACAAGCCGGTTTCCGAAAAGGCTTTAGCACCATAGACCACATACATACCCTTCGGCAAATTGTACAGAAGTCCGAGGAGTACAATTTGCCACTATGTCTGGCGTATGTGAACTATAAGAAAGCCTTTGATTGAGTCGAAATTTGGGCGGTGCTGCAGTTCAGCGATGTCAAGTTGACTGTCGGTATATCGAAGTGCTGAAGTGCTTGTACAGTAGAGCTACGATGGCTATCCGAGTACAGAACCAGAGTACAAAACCTATCCAATTGCAGAGAGGTGTAACACAGGGTGATGTTATATTTTTTTTATAGGTTAAGGGTGACCAACGAGCGCACAGTCCACCTGATGGTAAGTGGTTGCTGTGGTCCATAGACATCTACATTTATACTCGATTACGAATCAAAATGCAGATGGGTTGTCACCCGTGAGGACTAAGATGGAATGCCTCGTTTCCAGTAAAAAGGGTCTCCGGTCAAATATGAACTTGGACAAAACAAAGATCATGTTTAATGTCCATGTCACACCTATGCCGGTAGTTGTTGGGAGCACTAAGCTCGAAGATGAGTTGTTACTTCAAAGCACAGGAGAATTGTTAGCTTCGAGGACAAGGAGCTCTCAGACTTTCTATGCTCTTACTGCTAATAAGGGCCCGAAAAACGTAAGACCGTGGTACCTACCCAGGCAAACGTCGAGACGGAAATGGTGTCCTACCACCTAGAAAATAATTCTTCAAATTGCACAGAATTAGCCCTTCAATCATACACGTATGTCGAAGTGTAGGTCTTGTAAAATCTGTAACACAGTATAACAACAAAGATATAATTGCATTTATTTATTAAAACTACTGTAATAATCGCATCAGTAATCATGGCAGGGGATTGTTTTCGGTTTTGTTTTACTCGTCCTTCTAAACAAAGCTTGGGTAAAATTTTCCAACCGCTTGGTGCGTCACATGCAATAAAATTTAAATTCGAGGTTATTGCGAATGATTAACTAGTTTGTGATGGAGTCGCGAATGCAACGTTTATAAGTTGACTTAATTGGATGGCTAAATAGTAGGTGATGAACAACTGTTAGTTTTTATTACATTATCTTTAGTGTGCAAGTGTGCAATCACTGCAATGATGAATGTGTGGTATGACTGACAACTGCCAACTGGAGAATTGATCACAATATCGCTGGGGTGTGTTTATTTATTCATTCTTATTAAATTTACTACTAGGTTGATCAATGAGTTTTTGGAAACGCAATGAAACTCTAGGATAAATATAATATGTAAATTATATTTATTTTTCAAAATAATCGCCTTTTAAGCAAATAAATCTTGAATAGCGTTTTGCAAGTTGGTTAATTTCCTTGGGAAAAGGTCTCTACAGCACACATCACCTCATCTTGGCCCTCGAATTTTATACAACGTAAGTGCTTTTTCAGGTTACTGAACTGAAACTTAGCAGTTCGGATGGCATTGCTTGCAACATCAACGCACTCCAGCACGCAATTTTCCTCGATATTTATTTTTTAGTTTAGTTTTTTGATTACATAATAATCTCCGATTATTAAGTGGCGAAGCTTGCGAAGTCACTTATTGATTTCACGATATCTGTCCGTCTGTCCGTCTGTCCGTCTGTCCCACGATTATCTCGAGAACGGTTTTGAATTTTCAAATTCTGTTTTCAGCAATCGATTACTGATCACCCAGGCATCTGAAACTCCTATTTTGAAACTGATTGCTCAACGGCAACCGTTAGAAACCGCTACAAAGCTGATTGCTTCGCCACTTTGCTATGCTGTTAGCTTGCTAGGTTTATTGTCTATCCTTTACTTAAATAGTTGATGATTATTAATATACTGTTTGCATCCCAGAATACAGAGGCAATTACTTTTCACCGTGAGTCTCTTGACTCTGTGCTTGAAGACGGTCTTTTTCACACCTTGCTTTACTTTTCGTCTCCAAGTCAAAACTTTGTACCTACGTTTCATCTACGGTTACGGAACGAATGCAAAAAGGATCTGGATCTTCTTCAATTATTACTGAATTTAGCATTGAAATGTCAACTCTTGTTTTCTTTTGGTAACACTCAAGGTACCCACCGCGTGACCACCTTTTTGAATTTTAAGGTGTGAGTTAAAATAAACGTAATTATCCAAACGTAAGTTTTAGAATCCCAGATAAATAACGGATGGTCACAAGTCCATCTACCTTAACAATTTCATCGATTTTTTAACGTTTTTTAACGCCGTTGTTGGCTGCCCGGAGCGAGTGTCGTCATTGCAGGCGGTTCTGCCGCGTTTAAATTCAGCCCACCAGTATGCTACTGTACACTAGACAGACGGAACATTGTCTGTCATAGCATACTGCAGTTCTTCAAAAACACTTTTTGTAGAATTTTTTTAAGGCAAAAATATTTATTAACCGCACGAAGTTCGAGTTTCTCCATTTAGCATACAAATACGAAATTATTTCCCGCTAAATGTGAAGTTTGAAAAAATTGGGTATAGTTTTTAATTTAGTTTTTTCTGGCCTTGGCTACTAACGTTAAAATAGAACGCATGTGTATAGCTCATTATAAGTGTGCTATTCCGAAAACTTATTGATCAACCATTGTTCTCACAAAATAAAATATATATTATTTTATTTTGTGTAAATTATATTACGGCTAAACATATTAAAAAAATAATCTAAAAATTAGCCGGCTGCACTTTCGTTTAGTTTTGTTCGACGTAATGTTCATTTGCACCAAGAATATTCATATTTAGTTGAATAATTTATTTATTGTAATATGCGTGTTCGATATCATAATAAACTATATATACCTATAGTTACCTGCGGGCTATCAACGACACCTAGTTTTAACACCATGATTAATTAGAATATACTGTAATAAGTTAAACTTTAGTATTTTTAGTTTTTACTAAACATAACTTTAGTAGTTATGTTTAGTTGACAGGCCTGTTGGTCTAGTGGTTAGTGATCCTGATTGCTACGCCGGAGGTCGTGGGTTCGATTCCCACCCAGGACAAATGTTTGTGTGATGAGCACGATAATTTGTTCTGTGTCTGGGTGTAATTTATCTATAATATTTATGTATTTAGAAATATATAAGTATGTTTATCAGTTGTCTAGTACCCATAACACAAGCTCTGCTTAGCTTGGGACTAGATGGCGTTGTGTGATAGTTGTGGAATATTATTATTATTATTATATTATTATTATTATTATTTAGTGATTGTTGATAAAATATAATAAATAAAGCAAAACGCGTACCATTCGTTTCCTTTTGTTTAGTAGACAGCGAAAATTGAAACGGCTTAGCATGTAAAAGTAATCATCACTATACGTTTAAAACTAAACCTGAGTACAGCGGGTTAGTGTAAATTTTACTATTTTTAACATTAGCCGCAACATAGACATTAATAAAATTATTGCCCAAATGAATTATAAAGTCAAGTAGCAACAACTGTTGAACAGAATAGAATAGATTTTATTTAATGTGACTTATAAATAAATCTTAGTGAGTCATTTTATCTTTTCGCAATAAATCTCTGTCATAGAAAGAATTAGGAAGAAACCCAGCGTAGTTTTTTCCCACAGTAATACATATAAAATAAGTTGTTAAATTATTAACAATATTCATACAAGAAACAGCTAGGAAGCGATCACCTCGTTCGCAGGAGATACGATCAACCATTTAGTCCGTAACAGCTAATGCTATTTGTCACGGATACGTTATTATTTATTATATTATATTTTTTTAATTACCCGCTATGAAGTGGTTTTGCAAGATAACTCCGTAAAATTAAAACCTTTCAAAGATGTTATAATGCGAAAAGCAATATGCGAAATACATAGAAGTTTATTCAAAAATACCTTATTCTTCTCTTAATGCAAAGTTCGATATTTCGTTTTTAATTGTGTCAGACGTTGCACAACACCTGAAAAGTTTATGATTTTACTGTTATCGTTAAAT